CATGCCAGCCCCAGTTGGCAAGAGTCCCTCTCAAGCATCAGCGGCCCACTCGTTTTCCCTGTTGAGCAAAAGTCATTTTGCTAGGTTAGATCACAAACCTAACGGTTACAGAAACCCAAAATATATACCTCCTAATCTGATCTTCTTCTTCGGGTGTGAAATCATTCTCAATGTTAAACATTTCTCTGATTTGCTCTGGGGTCTGTTTACCGCGCGTCAATTTCTTGTTCACCTCAAACTCACATGAATCACCAAAAACAAAAGATCGTTACCTTTCCCTTGATCATGTTGGCAACCGTCTTACATCCCAAATCCAATAGTGGCTTGATATCTAGGTAATTCGCAGCCAAGATAATCTCAAAGAGCTCCTCATTCCCAACCTTGATAAACTGCGCGTCCCACTCGTCGATATCATCCGCTTTTCTTCGCGACGATTCGAACGCATCCTTATCTTCTTCGGCGGACGGGACGGGATCTTCCTTGTGATGTTCGCAGTATTCAATGACTTTTTTGAGGATCGATCCTGCTACGTTGGGGAGCGGGATCGGTTCTCCAGCTTCACCCACGTCTTCTAGCATGTTCTTGAGGAGCATAGAGCGCTCCGCAACGGCCTTCTCAATGGTGAATTGCTGGTTATCGGACGCTTGGAGTACGACTGGCATGGTTGATGGAGGTATATATGAATGGATTTGCCAAAAAGTGTTGGAGCTCCGTTTAGCTTGCAACTGGTGATTCCCCCCACGCCACATTGCTGTGTCACGGTTGGGCTTAGCGTCAAGCCACATGCCTTGTCATCACGTTTGCTAATGTGCAGATGTGTTGAAATGCTACTTTCAAGATACCCCAAATCGGCGCTGAAATGTAATATGGGTATGATGAGAAAGGACTTTTGAGAAAGCTCATATCTTATTTGCCGGAGCACAACAATATACAAGTAATGGCACACCAATATCCCTTCTCAAGAAAACTCCAAAGCATCCCAGATAGAGTTCAGTACTTGTAATCCTATCAGGGAAGACACGGGATGATTGTTAGCTTTCAAGCTCTACATTTTGTGCCTTGAAAAATTGTCAGTCTTGAGCGTGGCCTACCTTCACATACAAGCTCTCTGTAGCACCCGAGCTTTTATCACCTCCTTGGTACTTGCCCAAAGCTGCCAGAGAACATGCTTTTGCTCGTTCAATAAACACCTTCTGAGCGGCTTCCACATTCTCCTTTTTCCCCTTCCAGGTCTTTAGGACGGATGCTTGCAGCGCTCGTCCATACGAAAACGTTAACGCCCACGGCTTGACTTCCGGAACACGGTTGATTTCGTTGAGGTTGATAGTAGCTTCCTCCTCAGATTGACCACCTGACAGGAAGGTAATGCCCGGGACTGCGGGTGGAACAGTACGGCGTAATGTAGTCACGGTAGCCTTGGCAATATCCTGAGGAGTGTACTTTTTAGGCGAGTCAAACCCGGGCAGGACCATATTAGGCTTGAGCAGCGAGCCTTCCAGGAAGATAAGATGGTCGTGCAAAGCTTTGAACACGGCACTAAGGACTTCAGTGGTGGCCTGAGCCGACCGCTCCAGATCATGATCACCGTCCATCAGAATCTCGGGCTCTACAATTGGAACTAGACCGTTTG